GATCGGGGCAGGGGGACGCTCCCGCCGCACCCAGGGACCCCTGCAGAGTGGAGACGGATGGAACCCGATCCGCCGTGCGCTCCCTCTCGGGGCCCCGGGAGGGGGGGGACAAAGGCGTCGCTGAAGCGCAGCGGGGGAGCGGGGGAAGGGAGGTCCCCCACCCCTGGCCGGATTCCATTCCCCGGTGCGTGACGGATTTCCGGGCAAGCACAGGCTGGAAGGTGTTTCCGGAGGTCAGGGCACCCGGTTCGCAGTTTCCTCCGCGGCTGGTTGGATGGAGCCGCAGGGAAGCCCGGGGCAGGCGAGTGGGCTGGGTCCCAACACCTGGGGCGCTCAGGCCTCTCGGAGTCCCTCCCCTGGGGCGTCCCCCAGCTCTGGCGGAAGGACTTGGAGCGCCTGGCCTGGCAAGACTCCCCTGGCTTCCCCTGTCCAGACGGAAAGACACTTTACAGAATTAGCGGAGCGCCGAGCCCATCTTAAAAGATGTGGTTGTGAGCGTCAGAGAAAGGCTCTTGCCCAGGCCGCACCGTCACTCCGTAGCTCCGCAAGAGTCATAGCGAAGTTCAACTTTTGCCTCTTCTTGGAAAGCTGGTTTGAAGGAAGTTGGGACTCCTCCCAGAGCACCCCTTCCCCCTTCCTCCTCTTTAAAACAATCTCTTCCACTGTAAGGAGAGAGAGGGAATTATGTGAAGACCTGGGGGGTCCACAAAAGGTCCTTGCTAGAGCTTACCCTCCCACCAGGCTATGGGGATGGTCATCAGAGCAGGGAATGGGCTTAGACAAGGTGGAATCCAAGCTTCTCACTTCTCAGAGGGAAAACCGAGGGCTAGAAGCAGGGATATGACCTGGGGTACCCAGGTATTGTGATTACTGGTCTTTATCCAGGATACAGCCCTTGTATCTTCATGCTCTGTTATTTCTCCCAAGATACCAGTAGTGGCTGGGACTGTTTATAATTAGAGACCTCACATTTATGAGCAAGGAAGCGGAGAGGTGGAGGGACGACTGGCCCATCAGCTGGCTGATCAGCTGCCCATCAGCAGCTCCTGGGTCTGGAGGCCTCTAACCTGGAGCACAGAGAGGAGGACCAGCAGGAGAGGTGGAGCTTGAGAGAGAGGAAGCACGAGGCAGACACACAGACAGACAGATGAGAGAGGTCCTTGGGGACAGAAGGAGTGCCTGACTGTTAGGTGCCATCTTCTCTGGTCCCTTGTCTCAGATGGACAGACTGAGGCAGGAAGAGGGACGGAGCCAGATGGCCTCCTCGACTAGGATCTTAGTTCTGCCATCTGCTAGTCATGTGATCCTGAGAAAGTCGCTTTACCTCTCCAAGCCTCTGCTTTCTCTTCAGCAAACTGGGGATAATAATCCCAAACCCTGTAGGATTAACATGAGGGCTAAATGAAATAACACACTGAAGATGTGTTTGTGGAGAGTAGATACTCTATACACAGTGGCGCAATTTATCGGTAACCGTTTCCCGACTCCCTTTTGTCCCAGAGAAGCCCAGTATCCAGATCTCCTGCCCTTTGCAAGGGAATGGATTTCTTTGTGCTAGGAAATCAGCCACTCCTGTCCTCCGCAGCTAATCAGCCACTTCTGTGCCTGTGTTTGACTTTTGGCTGGGCTTGCTCCTGGGGCTTCTGGGAATTGAGCCCAGCTCCCTTCTCCTTGACCCAGGAAGTTGAGCATAGGGTGAGTGTGTGTGTGTGTGTGTATGTGTGTGTAAATGGGTGGTGACAGGCTGGGCTCAGGTGTTGGTTTTGCTTCTTACCAGCGGTGTGGTGTTCGTGGCACCTGTCTGTGCCTCACTTTCCTGGTCTGAGATAGGAGCAGGGTTAGAAACAGCCCCGACAGAGGAAATACTTGATGTGAGGATTAGAGGAGGTAATGGATCTACACCAAGAACACTGTAAGCAGCACTTCTCTGCGGTGTTGTCTGTGAGTGAGCCACGGATGGGAGAGTATATGGGGGGTGGGGGGCGTGGAGTGAGTGAAGAGACAGTGGGTGTGCAAACCGTCACACGTGCACAGCTTACAAAGCAGCAGGGTGTCTGGTGCGCAGACTCTGAAGCCCGATTCCTGGGTTTCCAGTCCTGCCTCCATGGGTGGAGTAATAGACAAATTACTTAACCTCTTGGTGCCTCAGTTTCCTCATCTGTAACCTGAGGAAATATTAACAGTACCTCTCCCTCTTGTAGAATTATTGTGAGGATTAGAGGGGTTAATATATGTCGAGTGCAGAGAATAATGCCTGGCACACGGTAGGAGCTAAGCAAGTGCTAACTCAGCAGTGCTCATTCTCATCACTGTGGCAAAGCAGTTTGGTTCTCAGTGAGGAGTGCATGTGCATGGCCCCCATGGCTTCACAACAACCCCATGATGTGGGCAGCGCTGATTTCACGTAGCACCCGAAGGCACAGCGGCTCTGGGACATTTCTGCTCTCCACGTTAGGCCGCAGAGATAGGAAAAGGCAGAGCTGGGCCTCCACCTCACGTCCTGTGATTTGAAAATCGAGGGTGGAGGGAGCAGGAGGAGGAGAGGTCTGCAGACGGTCTTGCTTAGGCGACTCTGGGATCAACTCAGACAGGCGGGCAGCTTTACTGTTTGTGACACGGGGGCGGGGTGGGGGG